AAAAAAAAATAAAAAAACAATATGGTAACATAAGTTGATTTAGTACTTAAAGAAAAAGTTTAATAAGAATAGTAAGATTCTATCTATTTTTACAATCTATTTTCACTTTTTCAGATTTCATTATTATTACTGTATAAACATATTTCTATACTAACTACAAAGAATACCATGATTCCAAAACTTTCTTCACCAGCCTTACAGGATTGCCTTTTAAAAAAAAAATTCTAAAAATCAGGATAAAACATAAGTTTATTTATTGTTTAACAAAAAGTTGAATCAGAAAATGTAAAAAAAGTAATAGGTTCCATGAATAAATTTTTTTTTTAAAAAATTCAGTTATCATAAGAATATACTACTTTAAACCATTATCTCACACACTAAACTATAAAAACATTAATATACGAATTTTAAATTTCATGCAGTCACTTACCTAACATTAGTAAAATTAAGAGAACGATGAGCAATGTTAGAAACACATGCATCCAAATCCATACTCTTTGAGGAGATTTTGCTGTTAATATGGGAAGGGAACCTTTAAACCCTGCACGGTGATAGTTATCTTGTGAAAGCGGCTCACAAGTACGACTTTCACCCAGACACTGGGAGGAAATATGATATTAAATAACATGCAAGTGAGTGCATTCAGAAATAAATAAATTAAGAACAATTTTCATACCGAACATCGACAATGCCAACTGCATATACATCTACCAAGGGGTTTAACTAAAACATCACGTCTCGCCACAACTCCGTACAATTTACTGCGAACAACAACTGAAAATAAAATATCACTCTTTATATCCTTAAAATCTAAACATTTATATAATCAGGGGTGATTGTGAACCCAACTCAAAAATCCTAAAAATTTCGCCAATAAAATTAACGTCCTTATAAATTTAAATCATTGATATTTTCAAAACATGAAATTCTAAATAAATTATATGCAGCATAATTTAAATGAATAATTATGCATACGTTTACTTTTACCTCTAATCACATTTATTATTCTACTAGACAAAATATTTGCAAATGAAAGAGACGGCAAGTATAAATTCGAGTTCTAACATTTCTAAATAAAACATTAATTTTTTTTTTAATACATAAATGTAATAAATAATTTCTTGAAATTTTTGAACCTCGGATTTTCGGATAAATTATATGCAGCATAATTTAAATGAATAATTATGTATAAGTTCACTTTTATCTCTAATCACATTAATTATTCTACTAGAAAAAATATTCTCAAATGAAAGAGATGCCAAGTATAAATTCGAGTCCTAATATTTCTAAATAAAACATAAATTTTTTTCCAATACATAAATGTGATCAATAATTACTTAAAATTTTTGGAACTCGGATTTTCGGAAACTTCCGGATCACATTTACCGAAAGATTTTTCCGGAGCACAATCATCTCTGTATAATAGTATTTGGTATTAAAGTATTTTTAGCTAATGATCCAAATATACTAGTTTTTATACACCACTTTAAATAAACAATATACTTGCGTGTATACTGTACAATATACTTGTATACTATATATTAAATAAACAATATACTTTAAATACACATTTTTTCATGTATACATATGATGAATAGTATTCCAGGTCTTTTTTGATCATAAATTAAATTTTTTTGAAGATTTCACATATGTTAAAGATAAAATACCTGTGCAAATAAATTTTTCCATTAATGCAATCCTCCCAGGTGTGGAAGTGAGTGTATAAGTTTTCATCAATTGAGGAGGAATAGTTTGAGTAACATTGTTAGAATTATGAACTTTAAATTCACACTCAATAACCTGCACAGAGAATTGAGCTTCTACAAGGCCATTGTTCGTAATGGTTATTGAAAACTCAATCTTTTTCTCAAAACCTCCAGTGATAACACTTGTAATTTGGGCATCTGATCTACAAAAAATATTAAATATTATTTTTCTTATATGTTCTTCAGAAGAATTACAGCTAAAATATAGTAATAAAGAAAAAAAAATGGATGATAAAACATTGCAAAGAATTCTCAATCTCTGAGTTGGTAATTAATTTAAAAAGATTAAGGTACGTTAAAGTTTAAGAGCAACCTCAAAAATCCAGATTGTTCCGGGCTTTGGAAAGTCCAAATTTTGGAAATTGTAAGATTTTTAGATATCTTACTTAAACCAGTAGCAACTTGAGTGATTTCTTATGTGGTACATCATTCATAATGATTTGATTATAAATTCACATGTTTTTGTTGATTATTTTTTAGATGCTAAGTGCTACAAAATTTCCAATGGTTTTTAGAAATTCTGAATTTTTTAATATAATGAATATTGCAATACAGGAATTGAATTTTGAGTAGCAAATTTTTGCAATAAATTTTTGACACAATGGATTTGCGATGATTTTATTGCAAAATCACATGATTTTTGTCAATTACTTTTCAGCAGTTATTGTTATGGATTTCCACATGGTTGTAGTTTCTTGTAATGCAAAATTGATTGTTTTAATGTAACATAAATATGATTTGCAGGTTTCCACACCTTGTCTCTATATTAAACTTGATTTAGTTGCCTTTTTTTTTTTAATTTGTGAGAATTCGCAAAACATTTTAATGTTTTTGAGTATTTTTGGATTTCTAATATGTAATTTTTTTGTGGCAATACTGTATTAATGTTTCAATGAAGCTAACTTAAGAGATTATATTTTAATTAAATTAATAATAATTTAATAAAAAACCAATAGAAAATTCATATTTTAGTTACATTTCAAAACTTGTTATTTTAACTGACATCTTTATGATAAAATAAATTTAAGTAGAATAGGTAGTTAAACCAACTTTTATGTAATAATATAATATTAAGATAAGCAATATTTTAAAAGATGTTTCAAAAATGGCAAAACCTAAAAATTAAAAAACATAATTCTTTTTAAAGCTTAACCGTTTGCTCTCTCAATTTACTAAAATATGAGCATTTTAGCAAATAGATGTGAATTATAAAAGGTAACAGATACGATTTTAAGGAATAGATAAGATTTTTTATTAACAATTAAATAAAGGCTGTTAATTTACTGACAAATAATAGATTTTATTTTATCAGATACAAAATGTTTCAATTATAAATTAATGTATTTACTTGTAAATTTTTTTTAATTGATCAGTAAGAGAAAGGGCAATAGTAACAAGCACTGGATAAGGTATGCTTTGTGCTGTGTAGATTAAAGCAAAAACAGGGTATCTGCTACACTTTAAATTTTCAAATTCATGACTAATTCCAAGAATTTTTCACGACTTACCAAAGTTACTATTTTCTCTGACAAAAACACAACAATAAATTTAAAAAAGCATTATAATATGATTGAAATGATGAATTGAAATGATAGGTATAGCCAAAACTGTAACACTCCGCATCTTCATATTTATTTATTTTAAATTTAAAAAACAGAACAAAGAAAGAGTTGAAGCAACAAAATAGCTAAATAAAAATACAATAATAAAATAAAAATACAATACAATAAAAAAATACAAAATTATTAAAAACAATTAGAAATATGTAGTTATTTAAAGCTGTTTTATTTCTTCTTAAAAGTGTAATATAAAAAGCTTAAACTCTCGATCACAGCAAACTTCTTTTATTTTCTAACTTTTCAATTTTCTCATTTATTTCAATTTCCTCTTTCTCTCTATCGAAACGTATTTTTCTTTTCACACTTTGCAAGTCTTGCAATTCATTTTCTATTTTCTTTTTTCTAAAGCAATGGAAGTTCTATTATCTTATGCACTCTTCATCTCCAAATCCTGTCGATATCGCTGTCTAGCAGCAAGAACAGCTTGTAACATTTTCTTGTCTATTTCGAACTTTGTGGATCCTTCAGCAGCCTTAATTCCATCAAAAACTCTTCTCTGGCTCACAAGACTCTCTTATTGGAGGTTTTCTACCAGCATTGTCTTGTTAATAGAAAAACCTTTCTCCACTGAAGAGCTACCATGTGAAAGTATAAAACACATCTTGACAGCACTCCAAGGATCTTCCAAGCTCTTTTCAGAAGATAGTGTAATTTATAGTAAAAAGTATCTAGTCCTACCTCAGCTTTATCTGATAAAAAGGAGGTAAAGTCTTTTTGTAATTTTCCTTACAAAAGTCATCCAGTTGTAACAGTAGAGCAAAAAGAACTATACTGTTTTTTCGGCTTTTCAGCTACAGTTTCAGCGATGCGATTCGCATTGTGTAATGCTTCTAAAACAATAATGAATCTAGATAGTCCAACACTTAGATTGTTCAATATCATGGATGGGTGAAGACTGGACAAACGCCAAACAATTTTATATTTCAAAGAACTTTTTTCAACTATTTTTAATGCAACTGCCTGCAATATCTTTTGACATTCTATATAAAAAGTTTGACTTATTTTGTCAGAGACTTTAGCCTCTTTTAAAAACTTATTTGCCCCAAAACCGATGTCAATCTTTTTTGGTTCAATCAGATTATCTTTAAATTTCAAATCTAAATTCAGCAATGCTGATCCTTCAACTATTTTGTCTGCTTTAAGGAACTTTTTCATAATACATCCCAACAATAGAGACGATTCTGAATGCAAATATGGAGCGAGTACTTTTTCAGACTGAAACTTCTTCAGAAAATCTTCCCAGTGAAGAGAAAGTGATTTGTAAAAAGCAAGTTTACATTTTAGAACAGGATCAGAAAAAGATTTCGGTAAGAATGCTTTAACCTTGCTTTCTGTGCATTTTGCTTGTAACAAATATTTCCTGACAGAATCTATTATTTCAAGAGCTCTATCAACACAATCACTATTTTCAAGCCACCTCACAGCACAGAATTGTTTAAGAAACTTAAAACAGCTTGTTATTTGGATAAACTCTGCTCTCCGAGCAGGACTATCTTAAAACAAATGATGAAAATTTCTTAAAATACAAAATAAATCCCAGTCAACTGACTTCAGTCCTGTCTTTATTGCACCATGGATGACATGTAGGGCACAAGTTCCCATCTGAATAAGTTGATTGCCAGATGGGTTTTCTTCAAACATATATTCTTGAAATTTTTTCACGAATGACAGATTGACATTAGGTCCATTCTTTGAAACATGCAATAATTTACGCAATGGAATAGAACCTAATGCCTTAAGAAAACTGTCAAGGAGGTCTTAGACAGTTGAACGTCCAAGAAATATCCCAACATATGTCGTGCGTAAACTTTCACTTTGCCAAAATCTGATAACTAAATCCATCTGACCCTTTTAAACAATTTTATTCAGGGACTCATCAAAACACATTATGACATCATGAGAGTCGTTAATGATATCTGAAAGTGTTTCATGAAAATAATGAACTATGCCATAATTAATTATATGGGAAGCCTTATCTCTCCCCATTTGAAACTGTTGAGCAATAGCACTATCATAAAACATATTTTAGAAAATACTTGATATGTTATTGCAGGAATTAATAGATATGTGCTTCTCTACCACATTTAATGCCCATAAGATTTCTGCCCTTAAGACTTCATCTTTCAACATAAAATTCTGCATAGTATTGATGGTACCTTTATGAGGAATTACTTTAGAAGAGTTACCAGATTTAGATGCTGACATACTCTCGGTATTTGTGATAGTAGACAAAACATTGGCAGTTGAAGAATCCAAATGGTTAAAATATCTGGATGTGCCAGATTTTAAAGCCCTTCCTTTCGAAATGGCTCGATGTTCATTATCTTTGCCGTGATATTTCACTGCACCCACACCCACATTACTTAAAGAAAAGGTCTTATTGCAAAATTCACATTAGGCACTATGTACATAATTTTCTACAGCACTTAACCAGTCTTTAAAATCAGGATATTCAGCGTGGTCTAACCACCTAAGATTAAACTTAGTAGCTTTTCCTAGAGCCAATTTTTAGAAAAATAAATAAATCTAATAATAAAATAAAAACAGTCAATGCATAAATTATATTAAAGTATTTATACATACGTTTAATTAAAGTATAAATATAAATTCCTTAAATTTTATGAAGCTATATAGCTATTTATATATTCATTAAAATGCATAATTTAGATTAAAATTAAAAATTAAGAACAAAATAAAAACAGACAATTAATCTGTTTTAAATATCAAATAACTTTATTAAAATATTTATATAAATGAGTGTGAGATTTATATATAAATGAGTATAATGATATAAATGAGTATAAGATTTCTTACATTTTGTCAATAAATCTGTTAATAAATTAAAATCATTTACAGAGGTGTCAACTTTCCTAACTTGCTTCAGTAATCAGAAGTACAATGATGCATAAGATATGTAGCGTATTGGTAGTTACGCCACAGATAATAACAAAATTCAAGTAACACAATTTAAAGGCATGTTTACAACTTCACAATTAATATTATGTCAAAAACAAAATGGATAAAGCAAAAATGAAAGTACATAAATAAACAATTTATTTATTTACTCTTATTTGTGCTTTATTCACGATGTTCTTTATTAAATACTTTATTTTTCACATTAAGCATTTTTAATGTAATTACCTAGAAGTTTTTTTTAATTTTTTAGTTAGAACTTTTGTTTATAATGGAGTACTGGGTTTCCAGCAAAAGATGTTCAATTATTTAGGGTTCCATAACCAAAAAAAGGGGAGTCACTGGTCTAAGCACAACACACAATCATGGATATTCCACCAACTGAATAATTTAGAAATATATTGTACATTAGGAAAGTGTGCAACAATGAATCAATAATTTTGAACAATCATACAGTATCTGTACTAATTTTGTTACCTTAAATGCTATTAAAAATGTTTGACTTTATACCTTACCCAACAGACAAGGGAGTGATATCATCAGCATTGAATTCTACAGTCAGCACGGTAGAATGTTTCTCGTGGTATTCAAGAGCTAGCCAATGTTCTTTGGTGTCCAAATCCACAATGATGGGATCTTTATAAGGAGTGGCATAATTTTCAAGAATATAACGTCCTTTCTGATTGGATTTTCTCTTCTCCTAAAAAAATATTTAAAAGTAAGGTACTTGATTTAAATAATATTAAAGTTTTAAAAATAAACACAATGATGAAAAAGAAAAACAAATTTTCAGTACTTAGGGTGATTAAAAAAATTATGTGGAATGAAGTATTACAAAATTTAAAATATGTAACAATTTTCATGCTACATTTTGTGACCTCATTTTTTGGGGGACAACAAAGAAAATTTTTTTATTTTGTTTATACACTCTATAACAAAAGAATCGAAACACCAAGAAGGAGTTGTCCGATTGAAGCGAAAATTGGTGGATAGGAAGACAATGTACAGAATAGTAAATTATTAAAATTTCAGAACAATTGAATAATTTATTGCAGAGTTACAGTAACAAGTTCAATAGGGTGTTGACCCGCCTCTAGCCTGGGTACAAGCTGCCACACGGCGTGGCATAGACCGATAAAGCTCCCAGATGGTCTCTTGCGGTATTTCCTGCCAAATTTCATCCAATTGTCGAACGAGGTCATCAACATTCCGTGCCAGATGCAATCGCCTTCCCATCATATCCCAGACATGCTCGATGGGAGAGAGATCTGGTGATCTGGCAGACCAAGGAAGAGTTTGACAAGCTTGCAGACAGTTCATAGCAATATGTGCCGTATGTGGTCTGGCAATGTGCTGCTGAAAAGCCAGTCCAGGGAGCTGCAAAAGGAACGGTAGCAAAACAGGTCTTAAGATGTCGTCGACGTACCGCTGTGCAGTAAGTGCACCTCTAATGACGACCAAAGGGGTCCGGCTGTCAAAGGAAATGGCACCCCAGACCATAATGCCTTGTTGAGGGCCGGTGTGGCATGCAATAGTGAAGGCAGGATCCCCCCTCTGCCCTGTGCGTCTCCAAACACGTCTTCGATGATCATCAGGACACAGTTGGAAGTGGGATACGTCACTAAAGACTATACGTCCCCAGTTGGCATCATTCCAGCCTGATGAGCATCAATTTTGTGTGTCTTAGTGCGTTCTTGGTGCATCAATTTTTTTGTTATAGAGTGTATTTTAATTTTATATTTTAAAGCTAATAAGCAACAAAATTTATTTTTAGTAACTAAAAATATCTTCTTACATCATCTCCAGCCCAGAAATCCAGAGGTTGATTTTTTAAGCACCTAGAAAGATTAAAAAATTATAATTAAGTAAAACATGTAGAATTTCCAGAAAAAAATTACATAAGACCAATATTAAAAATGCAAATTTATTATAAATGAAATTAAGATTTTTAGCTCTTTGAAACATATAATCTGAAAATGGAGTCCTGATAAGGATAAAAAATTACATTTTAAAAAATAAATTATACTTACGAATCTTTAACCACTTTGCAACGGTCTTTCTGTTTGGTGAAACCTTCATAAGAAACTCCAGCTTTATCACATTCATCCCCTTTTGAATTTATTATCGATTTGGAAAGAATAAGATAATCAGTTGCACCATTCTAAGAAACAAAAAATGCATTAAAAGTCACACATTTAACCTATTTACATTCAACAAAAGCATTTTTATCAGTTTTATGTTACACAACACTTACGGTGGAAACTTAGGTAAAAGTTAGGTAATAAGTAGCATTTTAAATAAAATTACATAAAATAAAATTACGTAAAGAATTAAAGCTTCTAGTTTTGATTAGAAAGGCTGCTATATTATTAAAAATTATTGCTTTTGATTTAAAATAAGATTACAATAATCAGTTGCACTATTCTATAAAAAAAAGTATAACAAAATACAGCATTTACAGTAGAATATCATGTGGTAGGTACAAATGACAAGTTTTATTATAAAAATAAAATTCTATAAAAATTATTTTCATTTATTTAAGGGGTTATACAGGCAATGAACACTGAAGAAAATACATATATTTTTTTTAAAAAATATTTAATGAATATGTTAAAAATATTTTGTAAAACTTTCAAGTCCCGAAGATTAAAACTCTAGGAAACTTCTCCTATAAAGCTTGATTAAGGGAGAAAAATTACAGTTTCTTTAAAACTATTTTTGTGCAGTCATTGGACAGGAATATTTTAAAAGGATGATTTGATGAAATTTTTTAGCTGATAATTTTTTCACCACCAAAAATAAACAGATTTTTCAGGATTAAGAAAAGAAGTTAAACTTTACTAAAATATAATATGGTGGGTAAAAAATTTTAAAATCTGTAGCGACCAGGATTCATAGCTCCCAAAGGTTAATAAAGACTTAAACAAGAATGACATCACATTTTCATCCCCTTTAGAAAATGTGGTTGATGCTTGAGTGGTGATGATACCTCCACGGGTCTGTCCAGACATTTTGTGAAAAGGTCCTGTTTTTGTAAAATTGTGAAAAAACTACTCATAATTTGTTAATATAAAATAAGCGTTAATTCACATTCTTTGAACCAGGGTCCTGCTTTTGTGAATTTGTGCATATAGGGTCCTGTATGCACAAATTCACATACACGAATTTGTGCATACAGGACCAAATATTGCTAAAAATCTTTTCAAGAAGTTTTTAAATTGTAAATAGATAAAAAATTATGCTCAACAGTTACTGCTACTAAATTAGAGATGTAGCATAAACTTACTTAACATAAAATATTCATTTTGGAGGAATAATGGAAACAAAATAATTCACAATTTTAATAATTTCAATTGACATATTGTAACTAACACAACTTAGTTATGTATCACTTTTAATGCATTACGCATTAAGTAAACTTAAACAATTCTTAAATTTATAATATTTTATTTAAAAAATTGCCAGAAATTAATTTTTATTTGGCTAATATTCAATTAATTAATTTTATGAATAAATATATATTGATCAATTATTTACTTACATAAAAAATTATCATTTAATATCAAGAACGTGCACAGGATGTTTGTAAAAGTAGAAATATTTTCTTAGAATACTACATTTGGAATTCTAACTTTTTTCCCCCCCGGGAAGGGTTTAATCGATTAACAAAACAATAAGGAAGATAAACAAATTTGTGAAGGGTTCAATTAAAAGATAAATTATTTTGTGAAGGGTCCGTTTTTATGAAAAGATATTTTGGGAAGGGTTCGTTAACGGACACAGATTTCTCCTAAACAGACCCCTGACCTCCCATACCTATTTGTATAATATCAATGTTACACCCATTAGTATAGCTCCATCAACACTCTTGGGTATAATACAAATGAAAAAACTTTTGGTTACTGTAAATTAAACAAGTATCTTCCTGGGCATGTACACTTCATCGTATTACCTCCTCAACGACTAAATTCTAAACCAAAATCATTCAAGTAACCCTCTGGCATGTATTTGAATTGACTGCATCAAATAAAAGAGATTACAATATCTAGCATAAAATAAAAAGTGTCATCAAGGATACATCAGTACATTAATATAGAAATGCAAGAACCTCACAACATGAATATTATTATTGTACTTATTCATAATTGCCATATTGCAGTATAGTTATATTACTTGTGCTTTGTTATTAATTTATATTAATTGTAGAACAAACTACAAAAATTAAGGAATGCAATTTGTTATTTAAAAAAATGTATTTAAGTAATAAAAGATCTATTTTGAGTACTGCATGAAATGAGAAGACAAGAAACAAATATTGAACTGTACATTTGAAACCGTATCATAAAAAATAATAATTCTTAAAAAATTTCACCATTAAAAAATGACAGCTAAAAATAAATATAAATTATAGGACAGTGAAAAAAATTTAGACTTATTACTTTTATAACAGGTGGTAACTTGTCCACTCCAATGCCGGGAACTGTTTGAGGAATTAACAGTCTATTATTTTCAGCAGAAAGAACAATAGTACCATTCTTTGGACTAGTCGTCATATATGTAGCAACAATCTATGGAAATAAAAGTATTTTTTTTTTAGATAAATGGATACATTACTTCAGTAAAATCACAGTATAATACATCAGTACATTAAAATTGGATAGCCTAAATTAAAATAATAGTAAATAAAAGCCACAAAATAAACTGAATACTTCCTATTTTTAGACAAGAACACTATCTACTTCTTGAACTCTAGGCACACAAATATAAATAATAAAAGCTTATAAGTGAAACAGTTATTAAATTAATGAATTATCATAAATTTTTAAAAAAAATTTAAATATAAAAAATTTATTACATCATATTAATTAAAATAAAGTATTAAGTAGCAAGAAAGCACATTGAAGAACAATATCTAGTGTGGATGTACCTAATTTTAAAAAAAAATCTACAAATATTTGTAAAAGGAGTCACCCCAAAACAAGTAAATGATCCCTATAAGGATGTCTCAGTCAGGTACAAATGTGCTGGTAAAAACTTGTCCTCATCTACTTACAATATGCTAAATTAGGATTTGCCAAAATCTAATATTCCAATAAAATTTACTAAAATATTAGACTGTGTTTTGATGCAATTTAGGTATAATGCACTTATATTTAGATATTTTATAAGAAAGAGTAGTATTTTATTTACATCCCACTAGAGCTGTATAATGAGCTGTTAGCAACGGCTTGGGAACCATCTTTGAGGATGATCCGAAGACATGCCATCGCCATTTTGATCCTCTGCAGAGGGGATGTCTCCCCCTTCGCTTGTGTAGTATAACAACCTGCACATGAAGTTGAGCACTCTACCATAGAATAGTTCAGGGGGGCTGATACCAAGCATTCTTTGTCCATACACATCCTGATCAATGTGGTCACTCACTGTCCGTGATGCTTGACTTCAGTGATCTACTAAAAACAGTGTCTTTATGGTCAGTCCATTGGGATACAATCCAATTTATGTCAAAGATAGAAAAATTTAATCCAATTTGTCAGATGAAAACTATCTTCATCAACATCAATAAAAGAATAAAAATATTTCACAATGAAACTTCATTTTTTCAGGAATTGAAGGGGTAGCAGTTTGCTGACCAGTTTGTGCTCTTCTGCAGGTACTACTCTTGATGTCTAGCAATGTTCTCTATTGTCTAATGCAACACTGAAGCGTTATTTACACCGATAAACACTACAAATTACCTTTGGCTCTATTTTATAAACGAGTTTAAATTACTATTTACTCACAGCAGGATGTTATTGATACTACATGACGACTGCAAATAAAGGTCCAAATCAGGTATGAGATTTCAAAAAAGAAAAGCACATGAAACAAAATATAACAATGCATTTGGAAAACAAACAAGACTACTTGGGTACAGCAAATTTATTATTGATTGATATTTTTGCTAGAATTATGTTTTATTGGGTTAAAAATACAAAATTTAATACAATAATTTATAATTGTAACATAGCAATTTTTTTTTTAAAGAATAACAATTTATTGCAGAATTTTTAGCTTTTAACAAAAGAACTGACGTACACCATTAAACGATAAATAGATCATAAAATATAAAAACTACTTAGTATAGAAGTAGGAAATTAATATAAGGTTTTAGTTAAAGTAAATTTATTAATAATAATTTAAAAGCTTTAGATAGTAAAATTGATTGCAGAAATTCCAGAATAATTGGTAAAAATAACTTTACAAAAACAAATCAGTGAATCATTCCCAAATAAGCTATATTAAAAAAAAGATGGAAAAAAAACATATTGCCTACACGTGGTCACAATCTTAATGAATAAATGGATTTAGAGTTTTATCTGATTAGTTTCACACATTTCAAGAAGTGTAGGATACAAAACCTAATGCAGGATGGTTATTTTCCAACAACCTTGAAAACGTAACAAAAAAATCTAAAAATGACTTTTAAAAATATAAACAAAGAAAAAGGAAGAAATAAAATAATGAATTTGAGAAAGTATCTCCTATTGAATCGTAATTAAAATCCCTGTAGCAGAAAAGTGGCGACATTGTCGTAGAAAGTTACAGAGCTTTTGCAGAAAGATTTTCTTTTTGGGAAAAAAAAATGAATTTTTTTTGCAGAAATTTAAACATAAAATTAGAATTTTGCATTTAAATAATCACTTTTTGTCGCATTAAATTTATGCAATAGTATTGTAAATCCATGCAGTGCTTCGATTGTATTTTTAGCAGTTATTGATTTTTATGCGGTTTTTAATTATCCCTATGTATTTCCAACAAGGGAAATTCGAATATTTACTTACTATCATTTTCTTCTTTCTTTTCCTTTTGGCAATTATTGATTTTGATTGCCATATAGCTTTTAAAATGCTATATTATTTATTACAACAATCAAATCTTGAAACGAAACACGTATTTGAGTAACCCCCTTTTTAAAGAGTCCGATATGCGTGATTTCGTTGTTGATCTGTTTTTCGGTAATTACTGCTACAGATTTCATGATTTTTAATTACTTTTTAAATTTTATGATGATTTACAAAATGCAATAAATAAAATAATTAGTGAGTCATCTTTCTACAAATTGCGAAAACGCCCATAATATTAGATTTAAAAAAAATTATTTTATTTGGTCCGATTTTTATTTATTTCTTTTTTTTTTTGTAATTAACGTTTTTGTTACTTCAAATTAGTAACATGTATATTTGTTTTTGTTAAAAGTATCTTGCAGAAAGATATTGGTATTATAGAGGTATGTAGCAAGGATTCGAATTATTGACTTCATATAAATAATTTGAGCCTGATTTAATTCTGAACTGAGTTTGGGGTTCAAAATTAAAGAATTATAGCAAAAAAAAAGAAGAAAAAAAACCTAAAAAAAAAACAATTATAAAAAAGTCAAAAAAATAATGCATGTAAATTTTAGTCCAATTATGACTGTTCTGAAATAAAGTTTTAGGCTATAATTCAAATTTTTGATAGATTGCGTCGATTTAGTCCAAATTAGGATTAGGAAAAAAAACCTAAAAAAAATAAATAAAAAAGTAAATAAAAAAAATAATACATGTAAATTTTAGTCCAATTATGATTATTCTGAAATAAAGTTTTAGGTTATAATTCATATTTCTTATAGATTGTTGTTGATTTAGTCCAAATTAGGATCGCCTTTTCTTAAATGCAATCATTGTACTGCACTCAAGTTTTATTATATATTTCAAATTATTGACCTAATGTCAACAATTTGAAAAAGGTCCAATCATTAACTGAGTTTGTTACAGTTAATGGATTACAGATAGAAAATAAAGAATAGAAATAAGAAGAAAAAGTGTTCTTACTGTTCGATTATCATCGTACTGCGATGGCGTTTTAGGTCCTAATTCGAATTGTTGACCTTGTGTCAATGAAACCCATACAGAAGACCTATTTGTGAGATGCCTTTGGTTAAATACTTGCAAATATAAATTATGGATGATTATTGGATCCCCAAGAGCACTCACAGAAAACCTACAATGAATTTAATGACATCAGAAAACCAAAAAGGAATTCTTTTACATAATACTCACAAACAGCTAAACGCAATGTTGCTCAATTTTTTTAGATTAACCGTTTCTTTAGATTAACCGTTTTTAAGGTTGGATTTTTTTCTGAAGAAGGTATATAACTAGAAAGAGCAGTTTACAGGGGATAGGAAAAAAGAAAATCCATAATTTTTTAACACTTACATTTTTGTTTCTTTTCAAAATACAGCTTTATTATGAGATATTTCAAAACATGGAGATATTAGTATTATATTCCATCATGAGCCACAAACTGTCACCTACCTTTCTTTTATTTCATGACAAAATTGGAAAGAAATACAATTTGCAAAGCATAATACTTTGAACAAGTGAATACAAACTCTTCTAAATCTCCCGTCGAAATAAAAAGTGGAAAAACCTGCCCTTGAAGGTTTTAAAGTCTAACCTTAGTGTTTCTAATCGATTAGAAACACTACTAAGTAAAATATGTGAAAATGCTGGGCAAATACAATGATTAGTATAAGAAATGGCATTCAAGCTTAAAAGCAGTTAAGTTGTTAAATAGAAATTTAAAAAATATCAGCTTTATTGAATAAAAAAATTTTTAAATATCCTTTTTATTTATCATTATTATTGCAAAAAATGTGGATAAATTTAACTTGTATTAGTCTCAGTCAGATAAATTAAACAATATATATTTAAGAAAAAATTAATCAGATAATGTTTCTAAAGATAGAAATAACATAGTAACGGTACTTTTACCAAATGTCACTGAAGTGCAAACAATGAGCACTGGCTTTATACTTCTGCCTTTTTGCATCTTGTGGACCAATCTGAAGCGAACAGTCCTGACCTCCTCGAGTTTGCTTTACATTCATTGGCTTCTCTGGGCAAAAACAACAAAATCCCTACGGAAAATTATAATCAAATCAATATTTTCTCAGCTGTTGAAAAGTAAATGCTGCAATCGCAACCCATGAGCCAGAAATAAAGAAATTGCTTTAACTTTGATTAATTAAATGTTAAAGGCTTTATAAATTGAAAGAGAATAAATATTTGATGGCATGAAAATGAATTAAGAGATTGTGATAGGATATTTCAATCAAATTTATACAATTTGTGAGTGGTTCTTCAGTTCAAGATATTAAATTTTTGCAATTTTAGAACTGTTAACGAAATCTCTTAAAGGAAATCATAAGAAAAAAGCAAAATTTTGAGGTGAAGTGGTACATCTAATGAAAATAGAATTATTAAAACACATCTACATTTAATGTGTTTAAGATGAAAAATGTTTAAAGCTTAAAAAGAACCACAATGCGAGATATATAATTTAGAAAAACAAAAACCACAATTTAGAGATCCACAATGCAAAATCCTAGCAACCCAACTTTGGTGCAGAATCCACAGATTGGGAAACCCTAAGTTAAAACATAGATCAATTAAATATAGATACAGAACTCATTCTAGGCAGGATAAACAGGGCACAGCACCCTGCTGCCCTTTTAGACAAAAGAATCCACCCTGTTGCCCCTGAAGTAAATTAGTGCCCTGATGTAATAGACTCCATACCATTTTTGCCCTTTCTTTCCTCAACCCTTCATTATTTTCCCCCCAAACTCTAGAATGGATTTCTTAAACTTTTGATATTTTCAACTCTTTTTACTTAGTTTGTCATTGCTGTCAATACATAGATTTATATGGGAAAGGAAAAATAGGCATCACACCCACTTGTTGCACTTGTCTTTGAAAGTTTGCAGTTACTTCCACTATCATTAAATCATTATTATTATTAATCATTTTAATTATTAAATCATAACTACAGACACTTAAAAACATACATTTATTATTTTATTAATATATGCATGCATTTTAAATAAATTACTAAGCTAATTAGCTCATTAACTCGATATATATGTTAATTTATTAATAAGAATTAGTAATTAATATGATTGCTTTGCTACTTTTAGTAGAGTAAAAAAAAAATTCCTTCACTAATTGACAATTTTTTTAATAGAAAGTGTAAAGCCCATAGAAAGAAATTATTGCCTTTTTAGAATAACAATGCCCTTTTTTTAAAATTTTGCACCATGCCCATTTTTTGCCTAGAATGAGCTCTGTATAAATACTTAATAAACAAAAACAAAAAAATATGCATGAATTAGAACTTGTCGATGCATTGTGAAATATTGATTTTTTTAGACATCATGACAGTGATATTTTTAAAATTGAAAAATTAACAGTTTTAATATTTTAAAAATTCTAAAATTAACCACAACGATATTATAGAGATGAATATTTAAAAAAATTAACAAATACGATATCGTATCACAAGTATTATCAATAAGGATAATTATAAATTCAACAAACATTGATTGGTGAGAATCAAAATCAACTATGACAATATCTTATAAGTACTGTTGATAACGATAATTATCTCATACAAAATTATCGTTAATAAATTAAATTTGGGTATCATTACTGTCTTAAGTAATAACAGTGCGAATCCGTTCAATTAGAAAAATATTGAAATACATCAATAAATCCTGTTGATATATACTAATATTGAAAGTCCACTGTTTTTGAGCACAAGTATATAAACAAATATATTTAACTACTATTTGAAACAGAAATTAATCTTTGACAGATTTTTTAAAAAAAATAATGAGTTTATTTTATAATTTTAACTTGCGATTATTTTAACTTACCTCACTATTAATAAGTGAGGTAAGTTAATCATTATCAATATTATCATTAATTAGAGATAATTTTAACTTACTTCACTATAGGGTACAGCCATCCCTTTGTCAAATTTGATTCCACATGTAGGACTTATAGAACTGGTGTCATCACAACCAGAATAATTCTTTGTATTCTCCTTATTAACAACAATTTCAGAAACTTTTCCATTTACAGCCTGAAATTATTTCCAAAAATACTTTAGAATTAAATACAAAATATACCACAACACAAAGACTTCTCTTTACGAGAAAGATTTATTTTTCAGACACTTTTTAACAATTAAATAGGATTGGTTTTTCCTTTCCAATTTGCAGCTTGTTTTTTAATGTTATTTTTATCTGAATATCAGCACAACTAACTTTTCACATTAAATAAAAGAAGCAGAAAAACATGCCTTTATTCATAATATACAAAATAGAATTTATCCTGTTTTTCTTTGATATTTTATTAATGACACTTATTTTCTCACACTAAGTATTTTTGGCTAATTAAATGTCATTTAAATTACAGCTAAATGTTATTGTATGAATACTGATCTTAATCATCATTTATTTAGTTATTTTATTAAATTGCATATATTTCGATATTTGCTTACCATAAAGATCTATTATCCAGAAAAATCCATTTCTGAACTTCCTGAAATTTTGCTGATTCTGATTAAAGGATTTACTTATTAAGTATTTTTGCTCAAAAGGTTTCTGGTTAATAAAACTACATTCTAAAAGTATTCAAGCAATATCATAAAATGTTTTAAGTATTTATAATAAAAAATTGAATAAAAAAAATGTTTTCTGATTTACATTTTTATTGCATATTAATCTGTTTTTGCATAGAAAAACCTCTGGAGGAAGGATACTTACACTTAAATATTTGAAAGGGTATGCAAGTATAACTTGATCTTGTCGAAGCTGCAATACTATAGGATTCAATAGTCTCAATTTCAAACCAGTATTCGGATCAGACACTTCCTTAACATAAATATATTGAAGACCTTCTGCTGACTAAAATAATAAGAATACATACAATTAACACTCATAAATTCTAGACCATCTAAAAAAAAAATTTCAAACGTGTTTCTTTCTCTTTTTTTCTAGAAAAAAAGAAAATATTAAATCTGTTACTAATATCTCCATCAGCTTTTTTACCACGTTTAAATCAACTTGCCTTCGTGTATGTCTGTTCGGGTGGAATTTTGTAATCGATTTTAAACTAACTTCCCGACTAGCTACAGACTTCAAATTTGGCACATAGTTCAGAGTTGGATGACAATGCATGAAAATGAAGAGAAAAAAGACATACAAAGTAAAATAAAATTAAAGAAAAAATAATATTTTCGCGATTGTCTTTTGTTGTCGATTTGATTATTTCAAATTAGTGTCACAGGTCAGTTGAAATGTTTTGTGTATAGTGAGTGAAAAAATTGAGATTTTGGATGTGAGTACATAAAAAAAAAAATTTTTTTTTAAACCATGTTTTTGTAGTGGAGAATAATAATTAAAAACAAAAATTGGAAAAACGTGGAGTGCATGAAATACATAACAGTACATATACACATTTTCTTACTCATACACATGCACATCCACATTCAGATACAATTACAGATATACATACACATATTCTCATGAGCACACATACTGTTACTGTTATGTATTTCATGCTCCCCATGCTTTTCAAATTTTTGTTTTTTTAATTATTATTCTCCACTACAAAAACATGGTTTTTAAAAATATTATTTTGATTTTTTTTAATATTTATCTTTTTCTTCTTGACTATGCTACATTGTGGTACATTATACAAATGATCTAAATTAAATGATATCCCAGATTTAAATAAATAGTTCCAAGAACCTAAAGCGAAAAAATGTACTTGATCAAGTAAAACTTAATTAGCTTCAGAGAAAATATGAAGATAGTAACAAAAGACAACATGTTTCGAGCCTTCAAAAAAAGGCACCTATTCTCAAGACCTGCCTCGTGACTCTTGAGAATGGGCTACCTATAGGAAATAAATCCCCTATGAAAAGAATTCTACATCTCTCTTTTTCTAACTATGCCTTAAAAATATTCATGACCTCAAAAACTGATACGGAAATCTCCTCGCCATTATAAACAATAAACACGAATTTTGAAAAATTATTTTTAAAATACAAGGAATGATTTCCGTATTCATTCCTGGGCCAAAATAATCACCAAGTTTTACAAGTTCCAGGCAGTGGCCTAGGGAAACTAAATAAAAAAAACAGATGGGGACCAGCACTTTCAATACACTTAAATATATATGCATATTTTTTAAAATTTCTTTGGCACCTTGGAAATCGGAAATTTTTTAAAAACCAATGCACGACGAGTATTGACTGAATCATTATGCGTAATATAAAGTACAAAAAAAACTGATTAAAGAATTTAGTACAACTTAACCAATAAATAAATATATTACAATGGCAATTTGTGAGCAAATAGTCCACTGAATTATTAAAAAGTCTCACGAAGAAAAATTCCTAAATAAATTACAATTACATACAAATATAACATAGACGTCAAAAAGAATTACCTACTTTCTATTTAATACTCTGAATTTTTTAAAAACAGAGACACTTAAAACTTAAATAATGAAATACCAAAGATGAATGGATTTAAAAGTTTCATTTAATACATGTTGGCAACTCTGACTTAACATTTAAATTGCTGAAAAAAGCAAGAAAGAGGTTTCTTGAATTTTTATAGTTATCTCTCCATTTCTCCAAGTTTTTGAAGGGAGAGATAATTTTTTTTAATTCATTCGAACACAAGAAAAACATTTCCGAGTTTTGAGCACTGGTTTATTTATGTTTTTGGTCACACAATAGGTTTCCGCATGCTTATTTTTGCTCAGCTGATGTTAAATACTTAATTCAGCTTGAAAAGCCTAAAAAACTCTTTCTACTTACTACTACGTTACCTTTTGGCATATTAATGAAGCTAAGAAAAAAGTCATTACATCTACTATTTGTTTATTGGTTTCTCTCATTCATTTGCTAATTTATTTTATACAAAATAAAATCCAAATCGTTGAAAAATATGTAAGTTACAAAATTCTTTCACTGTTTTTATGGAATAAAACGGAACATTTCAAAACGCTTTAAACCAAATAAGCTATTTATTAAAGTTAATTCTAATTTGGTCTAATGCATATTTATAACACAATTTTATAAAATAATATCATGGCTTTTTTTATTACCTAGGATGTCTACAGGAAGGGCAACCAGGAAATATAATCATTAAAATATTTCTCAAATCATAATTCTTTTTCTATTATTACTTCTGAAAAATATTTTCCAAAGTCAAATTCAATTGATAAAGTTAAGCATTTAAATCAACGATTTTCGACTATATTGTTCTCATTTTCAACTACATTTAANATATAGAAAAGGCAGGTATGCGTCTCATACAACAACGCCCCCTATAGTTCGTTGCGATCGCGAATGGTTAAAAAAATTAATAAAAATTATTTTTGCATAATTTTTTTATCAATAATTTTTGAAAAACAAAATAAAAAAATAAGCATTAGCGTAGTAATTTTTAATTTTCTATTGTTTTTAGTTTTTGATTTATTTTCTAATAGTAAAAAAATAAAAATTAATTTCATGACATTAAATTTAAAAATGCAACTTATGTGCTGAGTAATATAAAATATAATATAATTTCATATTTATTACTTCTAGAAAAAAAATCGTCGTCTTTAAAGAGAAAATCTGTAAAATAATCAAGGAAATATGAAAAGCAATTTCGCAAAGAATTAACTGTTTATAATTAAACTGTGTTTTTAGAAGGGAATAGCTGTTTGCTGCTTCCTAAAAATTACAATGTAATGCATACAGTGAAAAAGAGAATTAATTTTCGATAACATATAATAAATCCTCAAAAGATACTTACCTTCCCAGAATTCTGAATATTTATGATCAATCTTATTTTCCTGTCACAATCTTCGATAATATGAAATGGAGGAATGAAATTGTCTTTATCTCTCTTTACACAGGGAAGCAATGTGCCATTAACCATCAATTCAAGTTCATATGATATTTGAAAGATATAAAATAATGTTAAAACTAACATGAATTCTTTCAAAACTTTATCACCCATTTTGTTTATTGAAAACAATGTTCCGAGGCCAATTCAAATCAAATTGTATGAAAAAAAAAATCACCCGTGAAATAAATATATACTCATGTCATACCACATCAGTTTAAATTTTGCTTCTGAGATTCTGCATCTCCGCATTTAATACTTTTGCGAGCAGCAAATTTTTATAAGTATCACGTTTAAAATAATGCATATTTTATTGAAAAAATATTTTTTAATTTAATGGTAATTGGGTATAATATGAAAAAAGCACAACTACTTCCACTTACTAGGAATAACATTTACCTTTTAGTTTAATTAATAAACTGAGTTTTAAATATGCTTACTAAATTCATAAACTTCGGTAAAACAACAATATAAATTATTTCCAAAGGAACTAGACTAATACAATTCCAACCTAGCGAGTAGCGACTATAACAAGACACTTCGTTTGATGCTTTTACTTGTTGCTAGAAATCAGGTTCGCAGAAAATGCTGTTTACTAGTTAAATTTAGTAGGAATAACACGATCTGTGACGTAGGCTATAGTATACCCAATTCAGAAATATTATTTTCATAAAATTTAATCGCGAATACAATCTAAGTTTAAGAAGAATTCTTCTGTAACAAACTAACATTTGATAAAACAAAAAAATTTTAAACGCAGTTTGTAACGAATATTATAAGTATTATAGCGTTTTCTATAGTAACAAATATAACAACCTCTATAGCGTCATTTTCTACATTCGTTACGTTACTAGGCCAATAAAGGCCACCACAAAGCACCCAATAGAAATCAAAATGCCAAAAGGAAGGTAGCGTGGAATGGCCTTATTTCTTTACACGGGGAAAGATAAAGGAAAGACCACCTCTATGTAGCGAGCTCCTCTATGTAGCGACCTCCTCTATTTACGACAACTTTTGGGAGGCACAGAATTTTTTTCTCCATAGAATTCGTGTAGAAGAAAACTTTTAGGAGAGATCATCTAAATTTCTCCCAGCGACCGAGCATACTTCTGCACCAAATGGGGAAAAAATTAAATTTGGAAACACAAAAAATATCAACAAAAAAAAATATTAACAAAACAAATAAGTAGATTAAAATGCATTCAAAATATTTGCGTAAGGTCCTTATTTAGAGAGCTCTTTTTGACTATTTCTAAAAGAGACTACAACCTCATATTGCAGTCAAAGTGCACACTAAAGGCGATGTCATCAATGATTTATTTTTTTGAATTTAAAGTTAAGTTAGAGAAGAAAGTTACTTCAGAAAAAAAACTACGCATCTCAAACTAACTAACCTCTTTTAATCTTCCAAAACTAGCTAATTTTTACGATATATAAAATCAAATGCAAACTTAAAATAAAAACATAATTGTTTAGTTATTTAAAGTAGTTCTATTATTTATAATTGGTAATTTTTTTTTACACGCAATTAAATCAGTGAGTATCATTTTTATTAACGTTAAATTTTATTTATCTATCCGGTTTTTTGTTGTTGTTGTTCATTTACCGTCGCACTAGAACTGCTCAATGGGTTATTGGCGACAGTCTAGGAAACATCCCTGAGGATGATCTGAAGACAGGCCATCACAATTTTGATCCTCTGCAGAGGGGATGGCACCCCTGCTTTGGTAGCCCGACGACCAGCACGCAAAATCGAGCACTTTACGGTAGCGGTAGGAGAGTTTAACGAGGACCCATACCGTACACCCTCGTGCCCTACGCAGACTGATCCAAGTGATCACCCACCCGCAGACTGACCGCAGTCAGTGATGCTTGACTTCGGTGATCTGCTGGGAACCGTGTCTTAGCGATCAGTCCACTGTGAGACCCGGTTTTCAGATGACAACACAAGTGGTATGAGAAAACCGCACGCAAGGCTCACCAATATGCGCGTCTCATGACACTCAAAATCTGTACCTATGGGTGTCTGGATACTTTTGTCCAGACAGAATATAAGGCACTTAATAACGCACTACTTATGACCATAATACCACCAGAAAAATCGGCTCAAAGTTGCGCTCTAAAAACAGTACCTTGAATTAATCTCGTGCGAATTTCTTGTAACCTTACTAAGGTGTTAAATTAAATCTTATTTACTTTCAAATTGAGCTATATAATTGTGTGATCAAATTAAAGAAGGAATACTTTGCTTCATAACAATGGCTCAATATGCCACCATATTAAGATTGAGGCGAATTTAAACTATATCATAGTTCAACTTTAGCGCAGAGCACCACATTAAGATTGCGGATAGTTTAATTTATATTATGGCCTAACTCATTCCAAATTAAACGAAAATGACGTGAAATAAATGCCAAAAGTACTGAAGATATTTAGAATTTCTTCAAAATGTTACATAAATATGAACTTATAATAATTTATCAAAAAATAAAATCTACCAAACTTAAATATTTCGTAATTTTAAAGAAGCAGAGAAAGATTTCTACTCTGAGAAAAAAAAGTACGGTCAAAACTACAAGTGTATGAGAAAATTGATCGTGGTTTTGGCACTATGGAAGCACCAAAAAGCTTGGTAATTTTTACCAACGCTCTTTGGTAATAATTTTGGCAAAATTAACAATAAAATATGGTTTTAAAACATGTGATAAAAGTTGGTAGATGTGGTAAAATTTGGTAGTTTTATCATAATACCTTGGAGCATGGCAAAAAAAAAGAAAAAACATTTATTCGGTTAAATTTGCTTTTCAGTTTTGTATTTTTTAATTAATTTATTTTTTGTATTTTCAAAGCTAAACCACAATATTTTTGGCGGAGCAACTATTTATAAATCAAAATTAGGAGGGCAAATGTTAGGAAACATTTCAATAAAGCAAAAAAACATACAACTTCTGCAGTCCTGTATGTCCCATTGCGGGCTTGCCCAGAGTATTTTTCCATACTACATACTAAGGGCAACCATCCTCCGGAGTACTTGAAGCAATTGACTTCGGAGATAATAAACATTGTTCCTGCTGAAGATCTTAAAATTTATACGGATGGTAGCGGTGACGATCATCACCATGCCGGCAGTGGAATTTACACTATATATCCTGCTGAAGTTCACGAATCAAGATCACTAAGAAATCCAGATTTCTGTTCAGTGTTTCGCAGTGAACAGAAATCTGGATTCTGGACAGTCGTAGCTGCATTCAGCACCTGAGCAATTGGGGAGAGTAGCGGACCGGGCTGGGGTCTCTATACTTCGTTTATTAAATGTCCTCTCAGCCTCGCATGACATCCATATTCAGTGGACACCCTCACACGTGGGTCTTTTTGGCAACTAACGTGATGATCAGTTGGCAAAAGAAGGTACTTCCTTCCCAGCCTCTCCAAACACGGCACTCACTTACTCTGAATTATTTTCTATCCGCAAATCTAAAGTTAATAAAGCTTGGCTTGTTCCACCGGATCACAATTGGTATCCCCGCAAGCGTCCTGGAGGAGTCTTGCCTTCAGGGTACACGTGCCGACCAAACCGCTACCTGTAGATTTGTCAGTGGGCATACTAAGAGCCTCACTTTCAGGTTCTTGAGAGACCTCTTCTTTTCCTCGATTTTTTGAAGACTCACTGCCTCATGGATCTGGTATAGCTCCACTATCCCAGCTGGGATTGGAAACAACACACACAAAATTCAACTACAATAAAGCCGTTACCAATTATAACAAACGTGTAAGAAAAAGTAAACAAGACTTCGGGAAAAAGTTCTGCGAAGAAGTAAACTCTGTCTGTAGCAACTAAACTACAAAGAATTCTTAGAGGGGAAGAACAAATCATGGTTGATACCTTAAGAGATTTGGATTCTAACTATGCTGGTACTGAAAAAGGGGTTATGGAAATAATGGCCAAAACTCACTTCCTAGGAGCCAGAGATATAAATAGCAATGAAAGGCAGCATTTCATTGGTTTTATAAAAAGAATCAATAGGAATCAATGGACGTATGCTAAAAACATTATCAACCACAACAAGGTTAAATAGGCAATCTCCTACTTCAAACCACTGAAAAGCCCTGGTCCAGATGGAGTTATTCCTATCATGATTCAAAAGGCAGGAGATCTAATCATTAACCAATCTAACTAGTATATATAGGGCTAGTCTGACTCTAGGGCACAATCCAAAGATATAGCAAAAGACTAGGATTGTTTTCATTACTAAACCTGGTAAAAATAACTATGACAAAGCCAAGTCATTCAGATCAATCAGCTTATCTTCAATCTTTCTCAAAATCATGGAGGAAATCATTGATAGCCATGTTAGAGAATACCAGAGTAGTAACAGCCTCTTGAAAAATCTACAATTCGCCTACGAACCCGGAAAATCTACAGAAACAACTTGTATCTAAGATTGAAGACACCCTGGACAAAAAGAAAATTGCTTTAGCCACTGCCCTTGATATGGAGGGAGCATTTGATAATATTCCTCACAAATCCACCCTTAATGCCTTAAGCCATATGCATTGCATTAAGCCATATGCCATTAAGCCATTGCCTTAATGCTTTAAGCCACAAAACCATCCTTATGCCATACCTTGTATTCATGGACTAAGACCCTGCTCTCGAATAGAGTTATTCAAATGAATATCTCCAATGAGACATTTGAAAAAAAAAGTATCACTAGAAGTTGTTCACGTTCACGAGTAGGTGTTTTAACGACATTACGTTGGAATCTGGTAGTATACAGTCTAATAAACGATTTAGGCTACTATACTCAAGGATATGCTGATGACATTGTCATACTCATCCTTGGTAAAAAATTTTACATAACTTGTCAGCTCATGCAAAATGCTCTATGCTATGTAAGCAAATGATGCATAGAAAGGAATCTGGATGTAAATCCACAGAAGACCAATCTTATACCATTCACTCGCAAAATAAAACGTCGCCAATAGCCCATTGTGCAGCTCTAGTGCGACGTAAATTAACAACAACAACAACAAAATAAAAAGGGATGTTTTTTTCATCCCAAAACTGTTTAATGTCCGAAACAACAATGCCTCTGAGGTAAAATTTTTAGGCCTAATCCTCGATCAAAAACTCACTTGAACTAAACATGTTGATTACAAAATTAATCAAGCAAAGAAATTCATTATGATGTGCAGAAGCATGCTTGATAGAAACTGCAGCCTACAACCGTAAATGATGTCTTGGATGTACAAAACAATTATCAGGCCTGCTAGCACT